GCTCACTGGCTGAGCGAGGCACGGGAGCAACGCCGAGGGTTGCAATCCCGTTGCCGGTCCCCGGTCCGGTACGGGGGCAACACTGAGGGTTGTGATCCGTTGCCGGACACGGAAAAAGACAAAAAGACAAAAATAAAATAAAATAAAATAAATAAATAAAAAAAATAAAAATGTGCTCTTTACATTAGTATGGCATTTACATATTTAGATGCATGTGTGTTTTTCTGTACCTAGGCTTCTGTACCTCTAATATATTCTGCCATTTCCAAGAAGTGTTTCAGGTGTATATTTCCTGTTTCTAAGAATAGTTTATAAACTGTTTAGGAATTGGGCTGGTGACCTATCTTTTTTCTTTTTTCTGCCTTGAAATGCCTATCGTAGTGCTAAGCATTCAATAAATACATATCAGTACTTAAACATCAAACACCAAAGGGAAAAAAAGCACTGATTTAATCAGATATACTTCTACAAGTTCCACTGTGGTTTAGGGGTTTAAAAGAAATGTCTACTATATAGGCCACCTCCAGGTAACTTATACTGGTTGATTCTTTTCAAGTTTATGACCCCAAATGTCTTTTTTCTACTGTTTGCATTTTCCACATATCACAGAGTATTTGTCACACACCATAGTTACTAGGACACCTGTGAGTGCTCAATGGGTAATAAAGGCTGATAGAAGGCACCGTGGCACTCATAGCCACACTCACTAGCTAGGAATGAGTTTACATTCCAAGAGCATGGAGAAAACCCTTCTGTTAGTGTTATATTTAAAGATATTCATCATATCATCGTAATTTAGAGATATTTAGCCTTAACATTTTTTACTTTAAAAAAAATTTCATGCTGTTTGTGTTTGAAAAGTAAACTCTCTACAATTACTTTCCAGTAGTTTGCATTATTGTTCCATTTTGGATAAAGTAGTCTTACAATGAAATAAAAGCAGGATGAAAAACCATGATGAAGTCAAGGAATTGGAACTGATTTTTCTTACTATCTGTCTGTTTAGCGTTTAGGAATGAAAGCTTTTTGTTGGTACGTTGAACTTTCCTGACTTTTAAATTTGTTTTAAATGAGCTGATGAATTTGGCTAAATAGAAGAGGGTACATGTGTGGGGGAATAATCAAATAGTTATAGCTAAAACAGATACCACCTTAGATTACTGGCTGTTGGAGAAAGAAGTTCCCAATGGAAATGCAGATGTTGACTAACTGGTGGTGTGGTCTTAATTAAAGATTATTTTTAGTGGAATAAAGGAAGAACATTACCTACCATTTTCTTTTCTCCCACTTCTGTTTCCACTTAGAAAATATTTCACTGGAGTACACTAGTTAGAGTGAAAGTTATATTCTTAAAACCAAGAGGTTTGCTAATGAGTTCAATTCCTTGTGGGCTCTGGCCCAAGGCACACTTACCTGTTGAACAGGAACAGATAATGGTTGGATCACAGCTGTGGTCACTCCCGTCTTTGGAGATGATGATCCTATTGTCAAGGAAACAGAAGTTGTTTTCTTCTGAGCTCTGGAAAACAGGAAGGCAATTGTTCAGAATGTTTTTAGCAGGAATTATCCTTTGAAACATTTCCACAGAAGAGCTGGGTTTCTTTCGGTATACTCAATTCATTTCAACTGTAGTTGCTTCAGAAATGGGAACCCATAACTTACAGGCACAAGAGCTGTAATCAATATATGCATAGAATGTTCCTTGTAGACATTTAGCAAAATAAACACATGGATAAAAGAAAAGTAGCTAGATGTAACTCAGGCATTATTAAAGAATCTAAAGTATTAAACTTGAAAAGCCTAAGAGAACACAAAATACTTGGAAAAAAATCCAATCTATATCAGTAAGCAGATATTTGAAATCTTCAGGGTTAGGGTCCTATATTTAACTCAAAGTTTTGGTTGACTATTTTAAGCTAAGCAGCTGTTCATTGCTCTGGTTTCAAATTTTGTTGAGAGTATCTTGGAATTTTTGTCTTTTCTTAGTGCATACAAGTTAGTGAGGTGTAAGGAAAAGATTAAGAAGAGTTGGTTTCTAAGGCTGGCTTTGCCAAGTAGTTTGCTGTGCAATCTTAAGCAAGTCACGTAACTTCATTAAACTTGAGCTTCTTATCTGAAAGCAGGGGTGGTAAAGTACAGGGTCTTATAAGATTCCTTTGGCATCTGTGATTATTTGATGTTGAATAGATATAATTATGTATATAACAGCAAATCAAAGGAATTTATTAGCACGGTCTCAATATTAGTGAAGTTTTCTACAAATTTCTGGTGAATTTTATTTTATTTTTGCACAATAATTTAGACATTAGCATTTTATTAACAATCCATATTTTTGTAGGAATAACTAAATTTTGTGATTTTCAGGCATGAGAGCTAACTAGAAATAGATTTTATCCAAATGAAAATACATTTCTGGCTTAATTAAATATTTTCCAGTTTGTGTAAATAAATTGGTCCTCATTTAATTTTAGTAATAATTTAACTGATTTTTTTCTCACTGTGACTGCTCTTTTCATACATTTGTAACCAGTTAGATAAATGTTTTTGAAACTAACATCGTGTATAGTTAGATTTTGGCATACTGATGATGAAAAGCAGACTTCAGAGTTCAAACTTATAAGTTAAAAATTGCATCCCAGCACTTGGGAGAGTGCGGCGCTGGGAGAGTGCAGCGCTGGGAGAGTGCAGCGCTTGGAGCGCTGCAGCGCTCCCGCCGCGGGTTCGGATCCTATATAGGGATGACCGGTGTGCTCACAGCACTCACTGGCTGAGCACGGTGCAGCCGGTCTCAAAAAGGACAAAAAAAAAAAGAAAAGAAAAAGAAAAAATTGCACCCCAACTTCAAATATTTGATCTCTGGTTGACATCAGTTGACTTTTCCTTCAAAGTTCAGCATGCGTGGCTTTATATCCCAGCAATTCTTCTCCCATTCTTTGGTGCATAGATAATTGATGAAATCACAGGCACTTACTGTGGCATAGCTCCAGCTTTTGATTTGAAAGCTAAACTTTCACTCTCAGAATCCGTTGAACTGGCACCTGGGAAAGCATTAAAGATAATGTTAAAGCTAAGATGTCAGTGTTATTTGTAATAATTTTAAAGCGTAATGGTCCTCATTTTTAAACAATAATATACAAAGACTTATTTTTTATCTAAACACACAATGAAATAGAGAATGATTCAGGTTCAGATAATTTTTACTTAGACTGTTTCTTCAGAAAATTATTTTAAAAAAGAACTAATATAAAGAGCTTTCTTCAAAGCAGTATGCTTTTAATGCCAGATTTATTATTAGTTTCATTTTATGACTTTGGCCATCACAACCATACTTTTGAAGGGCTTATAAAGTATGAAATAAATGTGTGTCTGTGTGTCTACGTAAAAAACAACCGTGGTTTTAAACTTTAACCCTCTCCCAGAAGATTACATGGTGCGGATTATTAATGTCTTCATTACTCATTAATCAGAAGATGCTTTCTGACTCTTGGATAAAATTGAGTGTGACAGTGGTTTCATTCTTGAATAAGAGGGGCTCTGACTTTGGATCATGCCCTCCCAAACTCATTTGCATCATTACTATTCCTGAGTTAAGAATCGCCTTATCAGATTTTTAGACAAAATGTCAAAAAATTGTTTAAAAATTTTATTTTAAAATGTTAAATTTTAATATTTACGTATTTTATGTCAAGAGATTTTAGATGACAGATTTAAAATAACTGCAATGGTTAAAAGTACATTCTTGAGGTTTCTTTTATGATACACATTTTAGTTCAGTTATTTGAATTACCCCATAAAATGATACATGTTTACAGAAAAAATAACCAAATAGCACAAAATTGCGTGACATATCAGTAAAGGTCATTGGGTACCTTTCTAAACACCATTCTGCACATTTTAACAGTCTGGTGTACATTTTTCAGTCATAAAATGATACATGTTTACAGAAAAAATAACCAAATAGCACAAAATTGCGTGACATATCAGTAAAGATCATTGGGTACCTTTCTAAACACCATTCTGCACATTTTAACAGTCTGGTGTACATTTTTCAGGTAAGTGTAATATATCAACATACATACATTTATGTATACATTCATACACATGGATTCACACTATATGTAGTACTCTTGGCAATTAGCTACTTTTATCTATCAGTACACTTATATACATTCACTTAATTCTCTTGGATGGCTGCCAAGAATTCCTTCTGGTGGCTCTAACATGTTTTTCCGGTCTTTCATTAAGGTTGAAAACAGACACATTGAGTTAACTCTGTTGGAATGTTTGCTGTCCCTTCCTGTTTATTTCTACGAATACTGCCCAGTGTAGGCTTTCTTCCTCTGGTTCCTGGACTACCACATAGATTCTTACGTTGTCTTCCCATGTCTCTCCCTTTCAAATTCATCTTTGCCCTATGTCAGATTAATTTTCCTAGAGCACATCTTTCCTGTTAAAACATTACGTAATTTGAGTCTCAGTAAATTAAAAAGCCCAAAACCTGACACTGAGTGGCCTTCAAGATTTCACCCTGATTTTCTAGCTTTATTTGCCAGAACTTCCTGCACTTTCAAGGCATAAGTCCTAATCCAGAGAGTGGGACATACTAGTGTATACTCTATAGGTAAGCAGGATACTGCAGTGAAGAAGATACACACACACACATACACACACACACACAAATCCCTGCCCTTGCGGAGTACGTATTCTTGTGAGGACACAGATAGTAGACAAGAGAAATAAATACACAATACGGTGGGGAGGGAAATGGGAAAAACACCAGGCAGGGGAGGGGCGTAGGCAGTGACAGGAATGCGGTGGGGTTGCAATAATAAGTAGGTGGCAAGGCAGGCTTCCCCAGGACCTAGAGGAGGTAAGGGCTTTCCCTCCTTGCTCGTTTGTTTTCCAGGTCTGTGACTTCAGTTACATTATTCACTCCTAGGAAACTCCTACCCAGTCTTTTCTTGATAGTCTGTCTTTTAGATCAGCCCAGTTAATTTTCCATGCTGTCTTCTCTGAAATCCTAGTGGCCTTGTTTACACCACTCATGTCACTTGTAATATCATATCTGCTAGAAAGTTATTACTTCTTTGAGAACTGAGCTGGGGTTAGGAAGAGAACTACCAGTTTTCGAGTCCTTACTGTTTGCCTGGCAGTCTCCTAGGCACTGTCCATTGTTTAATTACTTACTAATGAACCACACTAAAAAATGTGTTATGTCCAATTTACAGATAAGAAAATTGAGGAACCAAGAAGTTAGGTAATTTGCATAAGGTCACATAACTGGAAAGCAGTGGTGACAGGAATTGCACTCATGTTATTTGAATGTGCGGTCCACGCCTTTCTGCCATACCATGTGTCCTGCATGTGCTGTGCGTGTCTCTGTGCGTCAGAGTGCTTAGCTTCACGCCTGCTCATAGCAGGCCCTTACCTTCTGCTGGAATGAATGAGCGGAACTAGGGAGATGCAGAGCTGGTTTGGGGACAGGCGGTGGGACTGTCAAGTAGAGAAGAGCAGCATGCTGGTGGGGCAGTAGTGGAAGGCAAGTGTAGAAACATAGGGCAGGATCTGGGATTTTTAAGGCTAAAGTGTTTGGACTTTGGGCATTGAGAGTGGTGATTGGGAAAATTAACTGTGCAGGATGAACTGGGGGAGTAGGAAAAAAAACAACAAAACAACAACAGGGCAAAACAAACAACAAACCACCAAAAACAGGTTATAGAGAAGGAGAAAGTTTTAACAGTGGTGAGGAGGTTGGGGGAGCTGAGCACGGGAAATGCTGAGGAAAACCAGTGAAGCTTCAGCTGGCAGAAAGTCATGGATAACCTGAAAGATCATCTTATTGGAATCATGAAAGTGATTTGGAGAAGGGGAGGGTGGCAAAAATCCTACGGAAGTTATCACAGACACTCGCAAAGTGGCCAGAAATCGAGGAGAGAAACAGCTATTTTCACCTGATTCCAAACATTTAAATAATAAAAAAAAAAAAAGAAAGAAAAGAAAGCTTTCTGATGACCTCTATTTAGGAAGCCATTCTTGCTAATTTTTTAGAGAAAGGCAAAGGGCCAAAAAGGTTTGTGTCCCATGAGTAAGATTACATTTGCTAGTTTTCACACACCTGTCCCCCTTGTGAAATCTCAATGTCACCTTATGTCTCAGGTGTCAGAGAAACTCTTGCAGAGGGTGGCAGATGGAATCTCCCTCTGTGTCAGCAAGTTCCCGTCCCTCCCCTCAGGGCCATTCTTCTCTTCCTCTCCCATTCTGTCCCTCCCTTTAATCACCAGCTTTGCACCTGCTGGTCAGGAAAAAACACTCCAATCTCAGGTTAACATTTTTCTCCGTGTTTATCAACCATCACTTTCGGTTTTTGATGTAGGCTACGGTCTGAAAGAGGTACACATTCTAGTGCTTTCAATTACGGTTCATCTAACATTTACCTGCCTACATCTTAACTATTCCTATTTTGCCTCCCACACAGAGTGAAGGAATCGAATGCTGCTGACCTTGGCCCACATTTCGGTGATGGAATCTCAGTGGAAATGACACGGAAACGAGCCTTCTGTCTTAACTTCAAAAGATATTCCCTCTCCATTTAAAAAACTTACCCAATTTAATACTTTCTTGTAGGAAAAGACCCAGAAAGTACACAACAGCAGAAAAATTTTAAAAAATCATTTGGAATAGCACTACCCAAATATTTCAGACTGTGTCCTTTCAAAGCAATAAATATGTTTTTAAAAGTATGATGATGCTATGCATACTGTTCTATTGTTGCTTTTCCCTCTACTTAATACATTGTGAAGTGCCTTTCCATGCCAATAAATAAATACATACTTTATGATTTTATAATGGCTGCTTAAAATTCATTTTTGTGAATTACCATAATTAAATCATTCCACTATTAGATATATTTATGATTTCCATTTTTTTACATCTCCCCAGAAACATGTGTAAAATAGCAAAATATCAAAATGCCTATTTCGTCACACTCATGAAAACACTATGTTTTAATTATTTTCATTGTTGTCAATCTGGTATCATCCTTTTTAAAAAATAGATTTTTGAGTGGAAGCAAACTAGATGTAAATAATACAGATCCAATCTCAGGCAATAGCAAGTCTTCATGAAGGTAGACATCAACCTATGTTTGTATATGTGTGTGTGTGTGTGTCTGTGTGTGTGTGTACAGTCATGCACTGCATAATGACATTACGGTCAATGATGGACCACATACATGATAGTGGTCCTAAAAGATTACAGTGGAGCTGAAAAATTCCTGTTGCCTACCAATGTCCTAGTCGTCTTAATGTCATAGCACAATACATTTCTCATGCAGGAGCAATAGGCTATACTATATAGCCTAGGTGGGTAGTAGACTCTACCACCCAGGTTTGTGTAACCATACTCTATATTGTTCACACAGTGACAAAATTGCCTAATGACACATTTCTCAGATCATATCCCTGTCATTAAGTGATGCATAGTGATATATATTATTGTTCATATCACTTGTGCATGTGTGTGTATGTGTGTGTGTGTGTGTGTGTGTATTTTTTAAATCCCTAAGTGATTTTACTGAATCAGGTTATGGAGTGTATCCTTTTGTATATGTTTTGCTTTTCAAACTTTAAGGAGCAATACAGTCTGCTTCCCATGCCTGTTACTCCCTTCTCTCCCTCCCTTTTTAATCAGTTACCATAATTACCAGAACAGCAAGCAAGAATCATTCATAGATAAGAGCAATTGAAGTTGTGGCAGAAACTTGTCTGTGGTCAGACCTTAAGTCCTGGTTACCAGATTAAGGAGAAGGTCATAGGTGCTCCAGTGACAATTAGTTCATTTGCATTTTATTCTGTATTGGTAAGGAGGACAGATTTAGGAGTCAGACTGCCGGAGTTTGAATCCTTGGTTCCCAGGTCGGAATGTGTGTGTATGTTTGTGTGTTTGTGCATGCGTGTGATTTTGGGCATTACTTAGCCTCTCTAAACTTCAGTTTCCTCAACTATAAAATGGGGGTGATTTTTGTAAGGATGAAAGGTGATAATCCATGTAAAAATGAGGAACAGTGCTTGGCTCCTAGTTAACACTAAATGAATGTTAGCTACTGTTTTTAAGTAATAATTTCTTTTACAACATTCTAAAATTTGATGCATAAGACAGTGGAATTTAGACAGTTTTCAACTAGTGCGTTGTTAATCTTTTAGAGAAGGTTTCGTTGAGATTTTAAATTCTATAGAAAACTTCCTACCCTCTGACAGAGGCCGAAGTACTGTATGCTGCTGTAGTAATAGCAACACGCTTTAGGAAGCAATTCAAAAGGGATATGCCTGAGTCTAATTTAGTGCTGGAATAAGTAAAGTACAAAAATTTCTTACTTTGAGTCATAATATGAGCCTAATAATTTATCTGACGTTCTCTCCCATTTCATGTGCTTGCTCTTAGGGATAAAAAAATTATTACTCATATTTCGCAAGGCCAATGAGCTGATTTTCTAAAGTGCTTTATGTTAGGCTTAGAAATTTGAATCTTAATGGCTCTTTATTTTTGCTATGCTTAACTCCCTTATCCTCCCTTCAATTTATCTAAAGTCACATATGATCTATCTAAAATCATAGATACCCAATGGCTACTTGGCTATCTAAGTGAGTTTAGTAGTGTAACTGGAAAACTATGCACAGGGAAAAATCCACTAACATTGTGGAAGTCCTGAGCATGAAATGTATGTGGCATATAGAACTAAAGACGTACTTTTTTCATGTTGAGTAGTTCATACAAGTGATTCAAATGAAGAAGAGGACTGGCAGTTCAGAAGCTTTTACATAGAAGAACCAAATTTGATTAAATAAAATTAAAGATCAGTGATGTGAGTATTTTGGGTGTATCAGAGTTAGATACTAAAACTGGTTTCAGAAGTAGAGAAACATCTACTTTTATTCTATGAAAAGTAGATATATCTTTTATATCTTGCAGTTAACTTTTTAAGTTCCTTTGCATACTTACAATACTTTTATGTTTCTCTTACACCAGTTATTATAACATCACTTATCATTTTATATTCTGATTTTACTTTATTTTATTTTTCAAATATGTACATCTCTGCTGTTAGGTTGGGAACTCCTTGATATTAGGGACTGTGTCTTAACCCTAATTTGTACCTGCACTGTGTGGCCTTTAGTAGGGCCTTAATAGATGTAAGTTGAATTCAGTTGATAGGCTTTTACCTAAATCTAATGTGATTTCCTTTAACATCTGTAGTATACAAGCAGCAGACTCAAAAATTCACCATCATTTCCAGCAATCTTGCAAGCAAATAAAGCATTTTATTTAAAGGTGCTCTATTTGAACTTGGATATGGTGACAAATCTGTTCATCATTAGCCAACAGGTATTTTTTTATGGAAGTTTCAATTCCCTTCCCTGTACTCTAAAATACTTCAGGAAGTTTACTACACAGCCCAGTCACAACCAATACTTGTTCCTAACTCAGTGAAATGTCAAAATCTTTTTTTTCATTCACTTGTTGTTCATGTAGCACTTTGAAATACGTATCAGTTTGATGCTTCAGGAAGTTTACTACACAGCCCAGTCACAACCAATACTTGTTCCTAACTCAGTGAAATGTCAAAATCTTTTTTTTTTTTTTTTTTAAATTTTTTATTTTGTCAATATACAATGTATATGATTATTATGGCCCACCACCGACACTTCCCGCCCTCCTCCCTCTCTCCCCTCCCCCCCAAGAATGTCCTTTCCGTTTGTTTGTTGTAACAACTACAAAAAAAGTATAGTTGTTATATCTTCTTCCCCACCCCAC